CCGTCTGGCGCTTGACGCACACTCTCTGCACGGTACATGCCCTCCTGTCCTTTGTACCTGCAAAGCCGAAGCCTTTGGCTCCGCAGTTGAGCTTACTGCCGAGAAAGCCTACAACCTCCATCGTGTCCTTGTTCTCTTTGTATAAATTGAAGTGCAGGTATTCACCACCCAGCTCCTCCCAATCCAAACCGCCTCTCCGTCTGCCCTGGTCCTCTCGGTCCCGATTTGCTCCCTTTGCCTTTTTGTTCTTCCGCTCTGCTGGGGGCGTGGCTTTGATGCGAATTGACTGGTCATTCTCCATAGCACTCTCCAGCAAGTTGGGAAATATCCGGCGAAGGCTTTGATGTGCTTTGGTACGCGTATCCTTGTCTGTAATGGGCGGTGATATGACTGGCTTGAAGTCTTTGGCCTTTTTCGATTCCCGCTTTCGTACTTGTTGCACAAGTTTCATAATGTCGTCCGTAGTCTGGCGACCAAATATCGAGTCTAGTATTTCGCGGTCTTCGTCTGTAATCTACATTGCATTAGCATCAATACGCACCTGTATCCTGTGAGTACTCACAGTTTCTCCTGCCTCTTGGCCAGTAGCCTTGACCTGTCCAAGAATTTCTTCGCCATTGGTCTCGGCAGGTACTGCCGCTGGTACAGGCAGCGTAGCCTCTCCAGTTTCCGCATCCTTCATTTCTGTGTCGGTCTTTTCATCTGTTGAGCCCACCTCAACCGGCTTTGCTTCCTCTTTAACATCTGTCGCCTTTGCGCTCTTCTTTGCTTCCACTTCTGTGCTTCTCAGGTGCAGCACCTGCCCGTCGAGTCCAATCTCGTTGACCAAGAAATCGGTATACCTCTGCTTCAACACGCCCGTGAACCCAAGATTATCCGGGCACACATACTCGGTTATTCCAGCGCGCACTTCACGCTCCAGCTCGGCGTCAATTCCTGTGGGCGCAGAGGGAATAGGCTGTACTGTTGCTGCTGGCGCAGAGTTGCTTGCAGAGAACGTAGGAACAGAATCATCGTCAAGTCGCGCACGTTTCGCGGGCCGCGTGGCGTCATCAGGAGAGTTTGGCATGGTTGCGCACAAAAATCGCAACTTGGGAGTGCAGGTTAAAAGTCGCGACTTGCAGTCGAGTTGAGCTTCGAGTTGCGAACTTTCTAGCGGGGAAGTTTTTCGCGAGGACGTGCACGCGGGGGTTACTTTTGGCGAGACAGCATATCGACTTGAACGCGACGGCTTAGCTGAGCATATGTAGCATCTTATCACATTTGTATAGTACAGTTATTAAAAATTTAATTAAGCACAACGAATTCGATGGCTATTTACTCAACAATACAAATACTACACGAAAAAAATCAAAGAATTCCATGCATTGCACTGGCAGAAACTTACCCAAGCTGATGGCATCACGTAAGACTGCATACTCGCGCCTTTGCCTGCTCAGCATGACTCGACGTACTTGCACTCTAGACAATATAATATGTCTGCAAAGTAGATGCGGTCGATCTCTTGGAAGCATTCAGTATCAGCAGGAAGTATCTTGCATGCTGTTTCATACACTGCAAGCAGAACACATATACATCGCCTAGGATCCTGCCTACCTTTGGCCACTTGAGTGGATACAATCCATCAGCCGTAAAGATATGTGACGATTAGCCTCAAATTGAGTGAAACCACATCATATACTGTCAGCAGACAGCTGAAGAGTAAGAAATCGACATGGTACTATTCCTTGTCGCAGTACATGGAGGCGGTCGGTATCTGTCACAACGTCAGGCATGGCAAAAGCAGCTGAGAGGGTCAAACCGCGCTCAAACTCCGTCACTTTACTACTGTCCACATCATGGCCACGGCAGTGAGCATCCAAAATATCTAAGAGCATGATTATTTGCAGGCAAGTCATCCAGACACAGGAAGGGACAAGCTCGTCCTATGTACTATTAGCAGCCTTGAGTTCCCCACCTCCCAGTCATATCACAATTGCAACGCCGCTGGTGCACGCAGCGGACCGTGAGGAGCCTAGAAGACCATAGTAAGATCTGATCGACGTCAGGTTTCCCCACCTACCAAACAACAAAGACGGCATTTCCACAGCCCCTTTCTGCTACCAAGTAGGCATGCAGCCATCAGTACTCCCCGAGATTGTCGTTTGCAGAAACCAAGCCAATCCGTCGTCCACCCAGAACAATATTTGATCCATAGCTGCCCAAGCATCACTCCCTATGTGCCGTACGTCATCAAACCAGGCAAGATGTCACACCTTGGAGCCCGCCAGTACAGCCTAAAGGCATGTACTCAAAGAAAAGCAAGAAAGGAGGGAAATGACAAGAATCGGTATCCATTCCGCCAACGCCATGCATACGTACCATGCCGATAAGATCGTACCAGAAGCACAGACCATGAGAAAGAGCCGTAGAAGGAGGTAGAAGACAGATGCTGATCGCGTGCTGTACACATGAGTAACCGGGGCACCTGGCAGAGGGTGGATGATCGTGCGCCCCTTTGTAACAGTGTTACGTACCGACCATTAGAACCTGCTGGCAGCAGCACCCCAGAGAGAGTTGTAAATCTTATCGACAACGTACGAAGCGCGGATGACGCGTCCGTTGAAGCTACGGCCGTTGAGGCCCTGAAGAGCCTTCTCGCCGCCGGACACGGAGTCGAACTTGACAAAAATTTCGCCCTCACTGTTAGTGTCGACAGCAATATGAACGACCTTGCCGTACTTCTTATCACACTCAGACTTGACTTCAATTTCAAGGTCTTTAACCCAGTTATCACCCCAGTTGCGCTGCTCCCTATTGTAGTGTTAGCGACGTCAGCCATGAGACAAGGAAGAACATACTCGTCAGGGTCAAAAGCGTTCTCAATCTTGATGCACTTGGATGCCATGGGCTTATCAACGGCGGGCACGCGTGGCTTGCTAACAACAGGCTGAGCACCCTGTTTCGTAGGCTCGGGGTTATCGCGGCGGGCGAGAGCATCCATGAGCTTACTGCGATCGTAAGTCTTGAAGTTGACTCCAGCAACATCAGTATCGTCAAGAGCAGAAGCACCACTAACGCCACGGTCATCCTTGCTGTGGGTGCGGTCAAAGACACCGCCACTGCCACCTGCGTATGCACCACGGCCACCAGCTCCACTAAAAGCAGAGCCCTGGTAGGACTGAGCTTGCTGGGAGAAGGTGCGGAGCAAGTTAGCAGTTGATTCAGGGGTGAATTTGTCGTTACCGAGACCAACGCGGATCTGGCGACCAGCAAGCTCGAAACCATTCATCTCTGCGAGAGCATTCTTAGCGTGCGAGGGGTCAACAAACCTAATGTCAGGTTAGTCACTATCTGGTACCACAAAGAGTAGTAGTCACTCACTGAACGAAACCGTATCCCTTGGAGCGACCAGGGTTCATCTCATCACGCTGGAGGATGACCTGCTCAAGCTCACCAAAAGGCTCAAAAATCTCCTGGAGATCCTTCTCGGTGACACTAAAGTGAATGTTGCCAACATAGAGACGATGGAAAGGAGCACCGTTAGCCCCAGGCGCGGCGCCACCTTCGGAGGGGCGGGCAGCACGATTCTTCTCGGCTTCGGTAAGCTGGGCGATGATGGGAACACCCTTCAGTTTCTGACCAGTCAGTTCCAGTGCTTGGGGTACAGACTCTTCATCCTTGAACTCAACGTAGCCGACACTGAACATGTTAGTTGTATTCCAAGATGCGTAGTGAATAGAGTGCTTACCCTTTGGAGCGGCCAGTCACTCGATCTTTGACAATCTGAGCCTCGACAACTGGGCCAACTCGCTCAAAGAAGGCGCGCAAGTGGCGGGTCTCGGCACGCTGGGAGATTTGCTGGACGAAGATGGTGCGCTTGTCACGGTCGTCTTCAGTAATTTCGGGCTCGGGCGGAGTGTTGTTACGACGGCTGTTGCGACGATCGTCACCGTTGCGGCGGCGGTCGCGGGACCTATCACGGTACCTGTCATCGACGCGGTCACGACGAGGGGAGCGGGTGCGCGGGCGTCCACCTCCACTGTAAAAGTCACCGCGGTCACGACGGGGTCCGCCGCGCCGGTCTTGGGAGCTGCTACGGCGATGCCTATCACGGTCTTCATCTGTGTCAGCGCCTTTGCTCGATCGGGGCCGGCTTCCTTCTCTTCTTCGGTGATCTCTATCGCGGCTACGGTGCCGGTCTCCATTGGACTCACGATAACGGTCACCTCTTCCCCTGCTCCTATCACGTCGGTCGCGTCGATCTGAGTGGCGGTCGCGGTCGTCTCGGCGGATGTCGACGTCGCGCGCCTCGCTGCTAGCGTTGCGCTCACGGTCTTTCATCTCGACCTCGCGCGCCGTCTCCTCAAGGAGGGCATCAACCGCGGCTGATGTAGACATGTTGTGGGTAGTGCCTAGCGCTCGATAAGTGTGGTTGGTCGGAAGTGATGAGCTTGGTCACTGCAAGATGCGATGTTGTTTGAGAGGCGAGCTTTGGCTCAGATAGTGGATTCAATTAGGATAGTGAGTGAGTGAGTGAGCGCGTAAACAACTGTCACCACAGTTGCTGTATGACGTCTTGAATGCTCCGTATAAACTGCACTCGATGAATCCGTGCTTGATTTGAAGCGTTTGTTGGTGCGCACAGATCGTTGTAGGTAAGTGAGGTGGACAACGGAGAGGCTGGCCCGATTGAGAAAGTCTGAAAACTTGGAGAGGTCTTGGCAAGGGACCCGCATGACTAAGCTAGTGGCTGCAGGCAGCCATTCACGTGCTTGTGTAATGGAGGTACTGCAATCACTAGGGTGCATGTACGGACTAAAACCACAAGTCTTATTGAACATTAATATTATTTCTATGTAAAGGGTTCTTGATAGAGTAGCGTGAGCGTAGCACCAGCACCCAGTAGTGTAAGCGATCCAAAATGATCTTGCAACCGGTTCAACGCCTCCCAATGCCAGGCTTCATGAATGGTGTCAACCAGAGGGGGACAGTAATGATGCGTCGTCACATTTCGATGATTAGTTAGTCTTGACGACCTTGGTAGGACCCATGTCGAGTTCGGTGCCAAACACCCAGTCCCAGAAACGGCTTGTCACACCAAAGCCGTTTTGGTAGTCGGCGAAGTGGTGCTTCAGATGATACTTCTTGAGCTGCTGGTAGTAGGAAGGAAGCCTGGTTCATGTCAGCAGGAGTTCGCGCAAGAAAGAAATACACGTACTTTTGGTGATGGAGAAAGTAGTGCGTCATGTCGTAACATGTGTATCCAAAGACACCACCGCAGAAGGCAGCCACAGCAGCATGCCAGTTCCAGAAAATAATACCATGCGCGACAGACCAGAATGGCGTTGCTAGAGCAGTAAACAGCGTAGGGGGCATAACAAGGCGGTACTTGTCCATGGGAAGGTAGTGGTGGATACCGTGGAGGATGAAGTGGAGGGTAATTGCAACACGATTGTCTGGAAGGTGGCTATTGCATGTTAGCACCAGCCGAGTCTATAGTGAGAGATGATACTTACTCATCCAAGTGGAACAGTCCCCTGTGCAAAACATACTCGATGATTGTCCAGAAACACAAGCCAAAGACCCAGTAGCCCGCCAGTTCAGGTACCGATCGTAGCCCGCCATAAGCCACTGCTGTTCCATACGCTACACAGGGCCACCATATTGTGGGAACAACCCACCAGGGCGTCTTGCTCAAAGGCTCAAGAAAGTTGCCAAACAGCGGAGCGGAATCGCCGCCTTTGTAGTGCCGCGGTCGGTGGACTTGCTCGAGATAAAATTGCTTGCTGAATCCGCCATTCCAGACTTGCATGAAGAGTGGCTTGTTGAGGTCCAAAAACTTGTGTTCCTTGTAGTCTTTGTTGGGGTCCGTCTCTCTTGACAAGTCGTCCTCAGAAGACATTCCAGTCGCCGCATACAGCGGTTTGCCATCCTGCGACATGGCCTTGAGCTCTTGTGTGCCAGCTTGCGAAGGAGGCAAGGGAATGATGTCGGCAGGCTTTGAGCTCTTCACTGCACCATTGATCACCGACTCGGTAGCCATGAAGCCGACGAGGTTCTCCTCGAGAATCTCGTATGCCGAGTCGGAATGTGCGTGGGAAATTTCATCTTTCAGGATAGCCTCAACGTCCTTGCCCGCATAGTCGAGAATGAGCTCGGGACCACCAGGGTGGCCGTCAAGGAAGTCTGTGACATCGTAGACTTTTGTGCCAATGGTAACGTAGCACGACTTGTCGGTGTTGTGGGCGCGCACTTCAGCGGTTGGAATGGTCGGGAGGGTGCGGCCAGGCATTGTGGCAGTGGAGGACATGTAGCGGTGTATTCAGAGTCGTAGAGGGTTGTGCGACGTGTTGGAGGGATGTGGTGCGGATGCGCGGATGGACGTAGTTTATGTACTCAAGAGGCGATTTGCGTGCAAAGACAACGCAGGGTCTGCGGGGAAAGGAGACTCGGTGCGGTGGAGGAAGCCAACTTCCCACAAAACACCAAGGCGTAAGGAAGGAATGTATAGGGTTGGAAAGTAAACAGGGCCGTGGAAAAGTCGTATCCAGGCGTGGGCGGTGTGTACCGTGTATAGTGTGTACTTGGGGATGTACTACATATGTATGCGTCTAGGTAGTGAATTGGTCAGGAGAGCCAAGAGATCGCTCGCCCTGCAGATCTGACCACCGGCAGCTAATGGTGGCGAGACCGCCGGCCTTCTCGTCCGTCCGCCTCCGAGGTTCCGAGATGGCACAGCAACCACCAAAGCGCAGTTGTCCGAAAGGAGATGCAATTTCCTTTTACTGTGGGTTTCCCGCTGTGTGCTTAGATGCAGTATTCTCTTTGTTTTCTGTCCGCACTTGGATTTGCCTATTATGCGCGCAAAATTGGCACACTCGCCGGCCAGGCCAATACGCCTGCACAGTATGACCCGACTTGTCACTCACTGCACTCACTGCACTCACTGCACGTTCACTCTGTTAGCCATGCGAGCCATGAGATAGTCTTCCCAGATGCTGGCGACAGCTTGGTACAGCTTGTCACTATGTAGAATGGTACCATGGGTGGTCCTCTACACACCTCCACACAAATACATCACTCATATAAATAATTGCGAAGCACTCACTCTGCGCCCACACCTTTACATACTACATAGGAAAACAGTTATTTCTGCAGTTAACACATTGCATATTTATATGGCGTGCGAAAGGGCGGTAACGGTGTTGTTTTCTATCTATGCGGACGTGCCAAGCCGAGTTTGATATGTCGATAAGTCTCGAATCTTCTGCAAATAACTACTTGTTTCTCGCAGATATAATGGACCATTCATGGTTTTCATGGCACATACGACCATTGGAAACTGAGAGCTAGCCATCCCGTCCGATCTGGCATATATAAGCAGTTTACCGGCGGATTAGTAGTTAGGTGGGTGACCACTAGCGAATCCCCGCTGTCGTATGTTTTTTTTGTTGTTCATGTGTGTGTTTTTCTTTTTTGCCAGCTTGCCCAGGTCACGTGTAGGGTCTTGGCATGCTCTCAGAGTACCCGCCTCACCATACATACGACCAATATCAAGCAAGGTTGCACATGACCACTGACGGCTGACATGTCAGCTTTTTTAAACTTCACTCGTACGCATCTCCACATGTACACACGTCTTTCCCCTACTCCACATGCCAGGTAGCGACAGCGAGCCGGACCGAATGTTTGAAACGGGCTCGCGTGGGCGGCCACGATAGGCTGGTGAGGGCTGGCCAGCCTTGGTGGACCCTTGTCAGCCAGGGGCAGGCACACCCTATGGCGTCACTGACCGTTATCAAGTTGCAACTTCTCTCCCGTACTGGCAGCATCCAGCAGCCAGCAACCAGCATCAGCCAAGGTTTCAACGTATTTCTTGTTTGCCCTGCATCGCCCCGCCACAATGCCCCCCTTGCGCTTCCCCAGCCTTGCTTTCAAGAACCCTCACAACCCTCTCACCTCACTCCCGTCTTCTCAACATCATTCCGTTGACCAAAGTCCTCGGGTCCTTACATCTTGCACCCTACACATCATTCCCTGAGCACCAATACCTGCCCTGTGACTGCGCACACTGGATGCGCAATCACAGCTCATCATGCCTGCTACTAGCCCTTCAAACAGTGGCACCCAGCCTATAATGCCCGTTTCTATCGCTCGCCTATGCTCCGCATTCTTCCTACTGGGCGGACTGCCTTTGGCAGAAGGGTTACACCACATGGCCATGAAGGCGCCACTGAAAACCAATCGAAGAAAATTGGACATTACCCCCTTGCTCATCACGAATCGTTGCCCCGAGAGCATCTGGCCAGGCATCTCGACCCAATCCGGCTCAGGGCCAAGCGAAAACGGGTTTGAATTGAAGCCTGGAGAGACGAAAAATCAGACCGTGTCTGAAGACTGGCAGGGCCGGCTGTGGGGGAGGACCAATTGCTCATTCAACGATGACGGCTCGGCTGCAGCATCAGGGCGGGGGAAGGCTTGTGCAACTGGAGACTGCGCGGGTGCTCTCAACTGCAAGACTGGTGTAGGTATTGGTACGATTTGCAACAGACCTCTGCTGACTCTCCACAGGGCGATGTTCCTGTCTCGCTTGCAGAGTTTACATTGGATGCTGGCGATGGACACACCTACTACGACATTTCATTGGTTGATGGCTACAACCTCCCAATGGCCATTATCCTCCAACCACTTGAAAATGTCACGTTAGACGACCTCCCCCCAAATCTGACGAATCCATCCTGCCAGGGAACAGACGGCCTGCTTGCCCCTCAAGGCTATGATCCGTATTCGGAAAATCCGAATTTCCTCAGAACAAACTCTTCGTTTCCGCTTCCATTTGACCAAGACGTGGATGGAAATAGAATTTCCAGGTGGTGTCCCTGGGACTTGCAACAAACCCCTCCAGAGAAGCCTGGCGACGGTGTCTATCCCTACCCTGACGACAACATCAAACGACCTCAGTTCAACCCTTGCTATTCCGCCTGTGCAAAGAATAATCGACCCGAGGACTGCTGTACCGGAAAATATGGCTCCCCTAGCTCGTGCTCGCCAAGCCAGTATTCCAAGAACGTCAAAAAAGTGTGCCCAGATGCTTACAGTTATGGTATGTTTCAAATATACTATACAAAGGAACCATGACTAACATTCTGCTTTAGCTTTTGACGACCAAAGTTCGACTTTTATTATTCCATCTGGTGCTGGGTTTGAAGTCGTCTTTTGTCCCGGCGGTCGCTCTACGACAATTCTCTCGACAAGCAAAGATGAGGTGCAGCAGTTGGCACAGCAAGGAAGAGTCGACAAGCAAGCTACCATAAGCCTGATGGGAACTCGAACTAGCAAGGTCCGTAGGAGCGCTGCTTTGACAACGTATCGGCTGGATTGGACCATGCTGGCGGCCGCTGTCATCACTACAACCACTATTGTGAGTGCACACTTTTGGTAGCAAGAAACTACTACAGTGGGCCATCTATGGGTCTGGAAATCGCCCAATGTGGCTTGTACTGTTCCGTGGTTGGATAGTTATATACCCTTCGTCGCGAATCAATTCTTTCATCTCCATTATTCATTGATGCCAGTTGTTTCCCCACTTTTTGTGAAAGGTCCACTTTTTCTTGTGTACTCGGCATCTCCATGGAGTATCCATCTAGGGAAAAATGAAGTGCATCTTACACACAACCTCCGTACCGGATTGTTGTTCAAGATAAACTTTCAGTATTACACTTCGGTCCTTTTGCTCATACAAACGGCGGGCTACATACACGAGACAATGGCAGCCCAATACATATGCCCTTGACTGCACTCTCCAAATTATACCAATCTAGTCCTTTGAGGAAGCTTCATGTTCGGTCTCCAAGAGCGAGAGTGCGATACTTGACGCAAAATAATTATTCCATACTGCATGGGCCATGACCGCCTAGAACACTCGCATCACAGTCGGTAACCCATCCAACACCGCCCCATATGACTACGTATGACACGGAACAGTCCTCGCCGATCTTGTATTGGATTTCGCATTCTGCATCTGTACCGCGTGGTCTATGGACGGGGTGACAAGGCCGGCCTAGCGCCATACTTTCCGACTGGCCGGCGCTTGCCTAACTGCTTCGGCACCGGAGCACCACCTCCGCACACCTAATCCGGACCACCGTTTGGTGTCATGCACTGCTCAATGTGTCTCCGCGCGGCATGTCGTACTCCGACAGAATCCACCGTTTGTTATATATGCTGAAGAAGCCCTTTGGCGTCTTTCAAGAGGACATTGCAACATTGCTTCATTGCTCATTCCGCTCATCTGCAGCTCCGGCAACGATTGAGGTTCACCAACGGGTTGGCCACCTCAAAACGTAACCACCATGGCAAGGAACCAGACTTTCAACGCCCACCGACTGGTTGAGGGCTGGACCTTCAAGCAGGCTGACGATACCGAAGATAGCTGGATGCCAGTGAAGTCAGTGCCTACGAATGTCCACTTGGACCTAATGGACAATGACAAGTATGTTCTGATCTAAGCAAAAAAAAAGAATACTATCGCTTGGAAAGGACTTACAAGAGACAGAATTCCAGATCCGTTTCTAGGTTTCAATGAACTTGAAGCTGAGTGGGTAGCAGACAAGGTGTGGAAGTACAAGGTTGAATTGCCCAAAGTACCTGAAGCACAGCAAGGCACTGTGCATGTCCTAGCATTCGATGGCCTGGACACTTTTGCAACCGTCAAGCTTAATGGAGCAACTATCCTTGAAAGTAGCAACATGTTTATCCCACACCGCATCAATGTCACCCAGAAGCTCAAATCCGACAAAAACGTCTTGGAAATCGACTTTGCATCTGCTCGCCTTGAGGCCATCAAAATCAAGGACAATCACCCGGAGCACAAATGGGTTGGGTTCAATGGCGACATGGCCAGGCTTGGCGTAAGGAAAGCTCAGTACCACTGGGGTTGGGATTGGGGCCCAATCCTTAATACGTGTGGTCCATGGCGTGAAGTCCGGCTGGAAAGCTACGCAGCCAGAATCGAAGATTTGAGGATCGACTATCAACTTGATGACAGCCTCAAGTCAGTTCAGGGGACGATATCGGCAGTCATCGAAGGCTCCTCGGCAGACAGTGTCTGCTTCAACGTGTTTGATGGGGAGACAAGTGTGTTTAGGGAAACGACAAAGATCATCAGCGGCGTGGCGAATGTGGATTTCCATGTCAATAGCCCCAAACTGTGGTATCCTCACGGCTATGGTGGGCAGCCTCTCTACACTTTCACTGCAACGGCCCTGGTAGATGGAGCAGAGCTGCATCAAACATCACGTAGAACAGGTTTCCGAAGAGGCGAGCTTGTCCAAGAGCCCGACGCCATTGGAAAAAGCTTTTACTTCAGAGTCAACGGCGTCGATGTCTTCTGTGGTGGCTCAGACTGGATCCCTGCAGACTCATTTACCCCCAGAGTGAGCGAAGACAAGTACCGCAAATGGCTGGAGATGATGGTAGATGGGTATCAGGTAATGATTCGCATATGGGGCGGTGGCATCTGGGAAGAGAATATCTTTTACGACATCTGCGATGAGATTGGTGTTTTGGTGTGGCAGGATTTCATGTTTGGTTGCGGCAACTATCCCGCCTTTCCGGACATTCTGCGATCAATCAAGGAAGAATGCACGGCCAACGTCACCCGACTGCGACACCACCCATCGATCATCATCTATGCTGGTAACAACGAGGACTATCAGGTGCAAGAACAATTTGGCCTGACCTACGATTACGAGGACAAGGACCCGGAGAGCTGGCTCAAGACTGATTTCCCTGCGCGGTATATTTACGAAAAGGTACGTGCGTCAGACATGCTGGCAGACCCCGAGTCATTGATACTAACGGGCATGCGACCAGCTGCTACCTGACGTCGTTGCCGCGGAGAGCCCGCATGTACCGTATCATCCGGGCTCGCCATGGGGCGACGGGGTCAAAACATCCAACCCCACAGTGGGTGACATGCATCAATGGAACGGTAACGATCCTTATATTGCGCCAGGTTCGACAAACTAATAATTCAATGCATCTAGTGTGGCATGGCAGGCAGGAAAAGTACCAAATTTTCGATACCCTTGGCGGGCGTTTCAATAGCGAGTTTGGTATGGAGGCGTTTCCCCATATCGATACGATCAAGTACTATTGCACCGATCCTTCGCAACTGTACCCGCAGAGCCACATGCTCGACTTTCACAACAAGGCCGATGGCCACGAGCGGCGAATAGCAACGTATCTAGTGGAGAATTTCCGCACCAAGACGGATTTGGAGGTATGCGCCGCGTTCGACGGTTACCTGGTTCATGGTCGAGAACTATGACCAAGTGGGGTCGCAATATAGGCTGTATGAATGCTAACAACGAATAGTCTTTTATCCATCTCACCCAACTCTCGCAGGCCGAAGCGCTAATGTTTGGCTATCAGGGCTGGAGGCGTCAATGGGGACAGGATAGGCACTGCGGCGGCGCACTTGTGTGGCAGCTCAACGATTGCTGGCCAGTCACGTCGTGGTCAATTGTGGACTACTTCCAGCGCAAGAAGCCTGCGTATTACGCAATGCGCAGGGTACTTGCACCCATTGCCGTTGCTGTCAAGCGGGCGCACTTTGATTGGAGCGTGGTGCACGCAAGAGTGCCGAGCACGAGCGACTTTGAAGTCTGGGTCGCGAACCAGAAGCTAGAGGAGGTTACGGCGACGGTTGAGTTGCGGTATATTAGCATTACGAGTGGGAAGGAGATTAAGGACAAGGTGGTCAAGAAGGACGTCAAGCTTGTACCGAACGGTACGACGGACATGTTGTCGGGCACGATTGACAACCGGAACGAGGAGCCGCATGTCCTAGCCGTACGCATATGGGTCAATGGGGAGATTGTGTCGCGCGATGTGGATTGGCCGCAGCCGCTCAAGTACCTGGACTTTGACAGTCGAGGCGTGGAAGTAATACCGCAGGGCGAGACGATTGTAGTCAGAGCCCAGAAGCCGACAAAGGGCCTAGTTTTCGAGGAGCGCTCGGGCGTCCTGATACACGACAGTGCCATAGACATTGTCCCTGGTGACGAGCAGGTCATCAAAGTGAGGGGACTAGGTAAGCAGGATGAACCACTACGGTGGACATATCTGGGCAAAGACTAAAGGTCAGCATACTATGCATACGCATCGGGGCGGGCATGATCGGGAGATGATGATGGGGGAGGGGGGCCAGGAACGGTGGCAAAACGGTGGGATTATGCAGAGCTACTATCAGATTGTACCCAGCCTGCATGGGGACAGGCGGCTACTTGATGGACAAACGTAAGTAAGAGTGAGAAGTAAGAGGATCTGGTCAGCCTGCGTGTCGATAAGATTAAGATTGAAGATGGGCAAACCCGGGGTGCCCCCCCATGAAACTAAGAGCTGTAGGATTTTACCAGATCGTGTGTGTACAATAAGTGTTGTATGCGTGATCCAAAGTGGCTTAGAAGCACAAGAAGTATTATATGCAAGGGCACAAGGAGAGATGAAGACGATGAGGCGGCATACAAGCTTTGGTCGAGTAGAAGTTACAACTGGCGGGTATATGTGAGGCTAGTATAGGCCATGTAGTTTGTGTTAAGGCTAGCCAAGCGTTCCATACGAGGTGTGTCAACGTCCAAGGGTAATTAAACGGCCAGTTCGGCATTGGTCGGCATGCAGTCGTTTAGAGGGGGTCTGGCAAGTGCATGTGTGGCAGCCGCATGCCGCGTACAGGGAGGGGAGGGGGGCGTTTTGTGTGCGGCGAACGGCGGACGGTGTCTTGGTCGGCCCAGGCGTGCTGTCGACCCGGGAGGCGATGGATGGTAGGCCCTGGTACGGGTACGTAAGGGAAGTACGCACATGGTAGTAGCATGGATGTTGTAGCCAGTAGTCTGTCAGCAAGACGGTGGCGGTACAGTAAGTCGGTTGGGCTGGGGAGTCGCTGGATCGCAGGGGTGAAGGGGGCACGAAGGGGGCGCGTGCAGTGTGCATTCACTCACGGATCGGCTGCTGCTATCCCGAGGGAGCGGGTGTATGAGGAAGATTGTGTGTGAGCACTTACGACTAGGTTTGGGTTTAGGTTCACGATCACCAAGAATACGCCCGCTGTCCGGCCTCACGAATACGAGGGGCGCATTACACTACTTGCCATACTTACCATACCGCCAGGCCCAACTGTTGGTTGTGCGATCGAGGGAGCCGTCTGCCTCATCGTGGCGGGAAGGATGAGCCGCACCTTGCTGAAACGACGTGCAGTAGTGCCGCCGGCGCAGTCTGACGGACAGGTCTCTATGGTGCAAGACAGAGGCAAAGAAAGAAAGAAAAAAAGACGAAGCGGGCAATCGAGGACGGCTGGGTGGGATGCGTTCGTGGTTGTCGCAGCGCTTCTTCTGGACGCCTTCTCGAAGGCCTGGGGGAAGGGGAGGGGGCCGGCGGCGCGTCCCATGCCATGCCCATCTCCAATCTCGCTTGGCTGCGCAGACGCAATCGTTCCCGTCCGCCCGTGTCCAACGTTCGCCTGTTTTTTTTCTCCTCCACCTGCAAACCCTGGTTGCATATGGGCCACACCAGGGGGGCGGGGAGTGAGGGTTCAAGGGCTATAATGCGGGGACTATACCCTCACTCGTGGGCCGCTTTGGCTCGTCTTTTTCCATTATCACTCCGGCCTTACTATGCGATCCGCTAGCTGCCGCAAAGTACACCACTTCGACGCGCCGCCCCAAGCATCATGACGGCGCCCGCCTGAGCTGCCAGATGCCAAACCGCCCTTGACCCATTTGCCCTCGACCCAGTTTTGCTGAAGCCTGTCTGTCTGTGGCATGCCTTGTACGAGGCTGTCCCTCTGCTGCCCCCCTTCATCGCATCGTCTCTGATATATCAACCATCCCGGTCTCAACGCCATCCCTAGTCCCACTCGAGCTATATTGCATCTCGGCCTACCACTGGTACATCCTTCATACCCTCTTCTTGGCCCGTTGTATCTCGTCGTCTACCGCCCACGCCACCTCTATTTGACTGTGCCTACGCCTCGACCTGCCTCCTGGGTCCGCAATCACTTGCCGTGCAGACATTCTGCACCGCACATCGCTCCCTCCCTCCCTCCCCTTGTCTGCCGTCGTGCATCGCACAATCTGCCCGGGTACCACCGAAACTATCGCATCATGTTTCACACCTTTCAGTCCTCTGTCGGCGTGCGCCTGCCTGACGGAGAGAGTGAGAGCCCCGGAAAACCATCACGACACCCAGGTTCCCGCCGCATTTCCACCAGCAACGCCTGCGTCGAGTGCAGAAGACGCAAGATCCGCTGCGATGGTCTGCAGCCGTGTGGTCAGTGCCAGTGGTACCAGCACCCAGAAGCATGCGGCTACTCAAAACCCGCCCAACGAGTCGTGCCCAGCAGAAAGTAAGTAGTATTAGTAGTAGTAGAAGTGTACCACACGAACCCCTCTTGTTTCGAACATCCTGTACTGACCAAGGTGACAAGACTTCTCGACAAGCTTTCCAACAACATTGAACAGTACAAGAGTGTTCTCACCAAACTCTATGGAGTAAAGAGCCTCGAGTCATTGACTGATCTTCCGCGTGAAGAGCTCCTGGAATTGGCTCTTTCCTCTGCACCGACAAACGCAACAACATCTCCATCAGCAGCAACCACATCTGCAACAGACTCACAAGTCTTGTCTGAAGCCCGAACAGTGTCTGAAGCCCCTGAAAGTCTCGAGGCGCTTGAACAGGCGCCTCCCGAAGACCCCTACTGGGACGAGGCACGCAAGCACCAGCTCAGAGTCCAGGGTATCTCCGATGATGTAAACGGCCTTTCCATGTCAGTGGACCGGCTGTCATCCTACGTTGGCATCTCTTCAATCACAGCGGCACTGAAGGTCATTATACGGTGCGCTCCACAGGCAAAGTCGCTCATTTTACATAGCCGGCAGGAGACGGCACTCCCGAGCCGTGCAGGCTCCCCAAAGCCTGAATTGACAGACAACAGTCCGGATGCCTTGCCGTCTCTTGAGCAGGGCCAGGGGCTGATCGAAATCTACTTTGACCGTGTACATCCTTTCTTTCCAATGATTGACGAGGGCAAGTTCTGGTCTACCTATCTCTACGGTAACCGCAAAGACTCAGCATGGCTGGCACTGCTAAACATGGTCTTCGCAATAGGTTCGCTTGCATCATCCGGTGCAGACAACGAGGCACACTATGTGTACTTTAGTCGATCGCGACGGCACCTGTCACTGGAGTCGTTTGGGAGCGGCAATCTGGAAGTACTGCAAGCATTGGCCATTATGGGTGGATACTACATGCACTACCTCAACCGTCCCAATGAGGCACACTCACTCATGGGCGCCACACTTCGCATGGCCACTGCGCTAGGCCTACACCGCGAGTACTCGGAGAGAAGTGATGCGAGTGGACAGTTCATTGTACCAGGCGAAAAAGACTCGATTTCTCCTGAGATGAGAAGACGCATCTGGTGGAGCCTCTTCTGTCTCGACTCTTGGGCATCAACTACAACAGGTCGGCCTTCACTGGGCAGGATGGGTCCTTCTATTACCGTCCTCAGACCTGGAACGGTCGAGAATTCTGTAAGTACCAAGGCCCTTGTTATGTTCCATCTCTGTAACTAATCTGCCACCAGGTGCACAGCGTACCGCCCGACAGCCCGCAGTTTATCTCACAACTAAAGGCCCTTCCTCTGACCCATGCCTCTGCGTTTTGCCAGATAGCTACTAGAATACAGGACCGTCTTGTCGAATGCCCGATCCTACCTTCTGCAGAGACAGCTAGCTACGACGCCCATTTGGTTAAATGGAAAGACGAATTGCCGTCCATCCTTTCGAATACTAGCGAGCCATGTCCCGAGTTCCTGCGTCGAGTACGACTAGTTATGAAGTGGCGCTTGCAAAACATTCGGATCATCCTTCATCGGCCTTTTCTGCTCGCCGCCGCACTTCGACGCGCACCGTGGGCTGCTCTAAGCACAGAAGAGAAAGTTGCAGTCAGGAAGTGCCGACAGATTGCCTGCCAGACGATTGAAGATATGAGTCAAGAATGCATGCCTGATCTGATATCCTGTTGGAATGCAGTATGGTTCTGCTTCCAGGCTTGCATGGTTCCACTGGTGTCACTCTTCAGCGATGCAAGCATGCCCGATGAGACGGAAAAGTGGAAAGCCAGCATCGAGACAGCACTGGCGTTTTTCGGACAGGCCAAGGATTGGAGCATTGCTGCCAAGCGAAGCTGCGATGTTGTCACACGACTATATGCCGCATACAAAACCCATGCTTCCACGGTGTCACACCAGCCACAGACCGTCGTATCACCGATCATGTATCCGCAGCAGCAGAACCACCACCAGCAGATGCATGCCCAATTTACGGTCCCAGGAACACAAGCGCCTGCAATGCTCAACACGGACGCCGCCGCCGCTTACGCACAACACGCCGCCACATTCGCCCATTACAACCCTGCCACCCCGACCTGGGCTGCACCCAGGAACGACCCTACCATCCTAAACAACTTCTGGGATGACATGATGTGGGACACCAACATGCCCGACCTGCTCGACCCACCCTTTGGACTCAGCAACGATTATGACTATGCACACGCCGTGCAAGAGTCTGGACCCGGCGCCCCATGCTGGATGAACGGAAATTAGGACTTGTCACTTTGAAGAAAGTACAATACATACCCACCGCCAACCGGATCGTCGATCAGCCCTAAAACGGATGATTATCCGAAATAGGGATTACATTGAACTCTTGGGATTTTTTGCCCATCTCAGAAAATGAGGAAAAAAGGATGAGACAAGTTCCCCCCCCCCCCCCCCCCCCTTAGCCAGGCGGATCCGCCACTTCCCTCGAAGGGACGCCAAAAAAGCACGGATGACATTGTGGCGGAATCTTTTTGTCACGGCCCAATTTAGGGCAGTCCTTTTTTGCACCGAACTTGTGTACATCATCCGTCCTTTACGCCTCGGAGCCTTCTCCGGTCCAGGATACCCCCCGTTTGGGTTTGTAATTGTTCTTTTTTACTTACCCAACCGAAACTGGGTGAGTGAAGCGAGTAAGGGATTAGTGGGGGGATAAGATATTACACGTTAAGCAACCAAGCGTTCCCGGGGGGGTTTATCGTTG